GTTATATTTGATTAGTGGACATCCATATAAATATATATTTCATAACACTCTCCCTTGGATGTCCATAGATAATGTGCCTCGTTAAAACCTTACCAATAAAAAACACCGTGGGAAAAAATCTTAGTGAAGGAAAAAGAGTCCAGATATCTTGTAATACGCATTACTTGCTGCCTCGTTAAAAACCTTGCCAGGAAAACCCAGTGGGATAAAATCTGTGCGAAGGAAAAAAGAGTGCACCGCGTGCTATACTCCCCCTAACAAAAATATCACTTGATATCTCAAAGACGATAAATTCCAATCATGTATAACAACTTCTCAATTGCTGAGGTTGGCAATGCCTTGTGAAGAAGTTTTCCAAATAATCACTGGAACAAATTTGTTGAACATCAATCATGTCTGAAATAGAACTTTAGTGAAATAGTTTTATTTTGTCTCCTTCGATAGTCCTTCTTTCAATTGAGCTAGGCATGCAGAATCATCTTCAATGTAATTGAAATCTTGTTGAATATAATAATTTGGCATTACGCTCACATCCAAATAGATTATCTGAACAATGAACCATGCCCTGCATTTGTATAACCAACATAACCTTCACAATATTTGTTAGAATAAATAAATCTATATCAAGGACTTCTTTTGCAATATAATCATAATAGTATTCCAGTATCTTTATATAGAAAATAAAGTATATCTCGTTGGCATATTGTTATACTCGTAGTTCTAGCAAGATACATAGTGCACCAATAAATCATGTAGCCATGATTACTCCAATCCACATAAGGATTTGCTGAAGCTTTATTTAATGAATTTCATGGGTACCTTAATATGCTTTAGAACAGTTTAAATCCTTCAATGATTTTTATATACGCATATCAAATTTATCAGGTATTGCCAGACTAAAATCTGAAAGCAATTGTATCCACCACAAGGGAACATGTTTCCATATAATCAATGCTAGGACATTTACGTAAAATCTTGTGTCACCCCACTGACTTTATACTTTAAGGTGTTGGGACTATCAGTCCAAAACTTCACGTTTTCCAAGTGAAGTCAATCTTAATTGCGTATTTTTCATTGACCAAGCATTTATCTGTCCAAATTCCATGACAGATTTGAGCTCAACATCCTCGTCAATATTAATAATATTGAGCGCTACATTATATCAACAATATCATCGATGATCATTTTATATCGGTTCCATCGTTACCCAATTAAGACATAACTATTGAGATCTCTTTATCTCATTATTTTCAGGTACCTGAGCCTCTCCCATGAGGTCTTATGAAGTGTTACGTCATGGTGCTCTTGTAAAGCACTTGCTTCCTTATTATGACCATCTTGAACATTTGTTCCTCTCCTTCTTCAAGGAGTTTTATCTTTGGAACCGATTAGTCTATTACGCTTCATGCGTGTCATAAACTCTGTCCATCATGGACTTTATTCCATTTTGGTGCATTAACAGCTGAAATATGACATTTAGCTTTTGGTCAGCAAATGCTCCTGGCAATATTTTGGAAATGAATTATACTTGAACTTCAAGTTCACATAAGTTCACATTTTCTTGTACAAGGATCTAGATGTATTCATAATAATTCATTCCACGTATCACTGTTTCAGCTGCCCATTTTCTCCCCTAATGTTAGGATCACCAACACATTTCTCAACCTTATTTGGGAACCCATCTTTGTGCATTGTGGTGTCACAATTAAATCATATAGCACATCTATATTTCAAGATGGAAATTATTTGGTTCCTGACCCTGAACCAATTGTGACGGGGAGAATTTATCATAACTTGGCTAGATGCGTACAAGTGCTGCTCTATATTAAATAATACATCTCAGACCAAATTTCCTTTTGGTAATTTTGTTCTCATAACTAATGGTTTAGCTATAATTGGAGGCATACAATCTCTGCTAAACCAACTTGGATTTAAACCAGCATTATCAAGATAAATTTATATTCTGGACTCTGCTCTAATAATTTGAGCAATCAATCTTGCAAAATCCAAACTGCAAGTTGACAACAAACGCACATATGACCATACAATAGATGCATCTATTAAAATCATATAATAGTAAATGGTCCACATGGCAGGTGATTGGGCCCAT